AAAACACAGTGTAGATCGATGTTTTGTTCGTTGCTCGCCGGGCTTCTTCGTTCGAACCCATCGCTCGACTTGATCGTCGCAACGACAGAGGAGCATCGCGAAGACGTGAGATGCACGCGTGGTCGAAGCTGGCCGCGCGAAATTGAAGTCTCGCGAAGTAAAGTGATTCGTTCGATCGTCACGATCAGAAAGTTCGTGAGACACGCGGGGCAAAAAGCCAGTGCTTTCAGAGCTTCGGCCTTTGTCGGACGCGGAAGTGGCTTTCCCTAACAATTTCCATCGGCATTCCTTTACGCGTCGTTGACGCGGATGTCGCGCGAGTGAAGCAAGTCCAGCGAAAAATGCATTCTCATACCGTGGGAACCTGGAAATTGGATCTCCCACACGTTGGACCGTTATTAAGAAACACTGTGTAAAATCCTGGGTTTTGTTGTGGCGAGGAAGGTATGGGTATTAGCCTGACGATTTGAAAGGAACGAAGAAAATCGCGGTGATCTTTGAATCTCGCTAAACGTTGCTTCTCGTACCCTTCTTCTGTGTGTAGTTTCAGTTTATTTTTAGTATTTTTTTTTTTTTTAATTTTGTATTCTATACGGCGGTAATTTGAGAAAAATAAGATCATTTATGTGAAATATATAATGCACGAGAATGAAGATTTTAGAAAAAAAAATTGAAATGATTCTTGAATCTTGCTAAATATTACTTTTTATATTCTGTATAAAGTTTCAGCCTATTTTCAGCATTTTTTCTAAACTTTGTCAGTGTATTCTGTACGTTGGCAAATAGGGAAAAATAAATATTTGTGAACTTAGATTCTTTGAAATTTTATTAGAAACTTCCACCAAGAATAAAAAAATATAAAAAAAAAAAAAAATAAGAAAGAAGCAAGAACGAACTCGCGGGAGTTTTGTCGTGGTGGAGAAGATTGCGCGAGACACTATATGCATTCTGTAGACTTTCACACTCTTAAATTTCTCAAAAATGTACAAAAGTCCGTAGTCTTATAACGAAAGTAGGGAATGTAGAGGAAGTAGCGAATTCATAATTACAATGCAAAATAACACATTGTATTTATTGCTGTTTATTCTTATTAACAGATTGTATTTCTTTCTATTTTAACGTGTCTACATATAGCTGAAACAAACTAAAACTGAACTTTAGAAATAAAACTCCGAATTTATGAGAAATTGAAAATTACAAAAATACACACAGAGTATATAATGTGAAATATCTAAAGTGGAGTTTGTTTAGTTATTCACAATTATTCCAAATAATAAATCCAATTTTCTGCTCTTGTCGATCTTGTGTATGTGCATATATTTCGAAAATGGTATATTTTCGTTTGCAACACAGACGTGTGACCTAAAATTATTTATGAGATTATTGATACATGTATAAGAATTTGAAAGATGTCAAGCAAAGCCGGCGAATGCGACTAGCATTTTCGAGGTTAACCAAATTCAGTCTCGAAACTTTCAGCTTGGATATGGAAGAGTCGATAAGATATTTCATATTTATTTTAGATTTATAGTGGAAAATTGTATGTGAGTCATATAACGCATAATAACGAATAAGTTATTGTTTATTGTAAGATTTTTATTATATTGCACGAAAAAATAACAGCAAAATTGTTTATGTTTTTTCGTTGTGTGTTTCAGTAAATTACACGGAAAAACTTCGAAAATTCGCTGATTATAGTGATAATCACACAAATTTTCATCAATAAAAGTATTAACTTCAAAATGAGGGAAATTGATAATCAATGGCTGAGAAATTTTTACATTAACTCTAAAATGTTAGATATCGAATATTAAACTTAGAATTAAATATATTCATTTAAATTGGAAACAAAGAAAACTATCATACTAATTATATTATATAATATTATAAGTTACCATCTAAGAAATACATTTATTTATTTATTTTTTTTTTTTTGTATTGTTACAGAAGAATATTGGAAAATAAAATACTGTCTATTAAATAAAATGAAACATTTTCTATTAACGTAATTCAAAAGCTTCACTTATTTTTTTTTCAAATAAAATCAGATTTCATTACCAAAGTTTATAGATAAAAACATTTACGATATTATACATCACAATCAATCATTTCATTTTCTACATTCGTCTATATAATCCAAAGATTATAGTCCGAAAGATGTCCCTTAAAAGATATAATTACAAATAAATTATCTTATTGCGAACTTAGAGAACGAAATTGCTCTTCGATATTAAAAGAATGTACCCCAGAGACTTAATAAATTACACGCTTGTTGGGAAATGTACTGAACAAAGATTGGGATTGAGGTTAGAACCTTTCCCTGAACGGGGACCGGCTGACACTTGCCGGAATTTATGGCTTTCGTGGTCAAGTAAAGGCCAAGGAAGTCTCTGAGGTGAATACTGCTAAATACTCCTCAAGGAAGGTGACACAAGTCACGACAAATCTTCACGAACAAGCCAACATGAATTCACGCTCACAGAAGTTTCACGCCAGCGTGCACATTTCTCTTGTATCAATAACTTTTCAAAATAATTATTTCGAGTAGTACAGCCTGAAATTTCGTTCACTTTCTCAGCAGATTATTTTCAGCGAAAAATATTATCTATACGTGCACAATACACTTTCCAACAATAAATTTTTGTGTAAAATGAATTTCTTTGAACGTTCATTTAGTGTAAAATAATTTTATTATTTATAATCCATTTATTTTTATTGTAATTTCACTTATCGAGTGTACTTGATCTCAATTTTGATTTTATTTATTTCGATATAAAATAATTATATATTATATATTATAATTCGATATAAAATAATTTATATATTATATATTATAAGTTATGTAAAATAAATAGATAGTTTATAAATAAATTAATATAGTCATATAAAATATATAACTTATAACATATAAATTATATTAAATATAACTTATAAGCTACATAAAATAACTTTAATCTTTTAATAAAATAACTTTAATATTTTTAATATTTAATATTTTAATAAAATAACTTCAATATTTTTAATATTTTCTAAAATTAAACTTTTCTAAAGTAACTTTACTCCAATTATTATTATAATTATTACAGAGTATTAAAGAGTATTCTTTTTTTCTTAACACACTGCAAATAAATAAATCACAATAAATATAAACAAGGAAAGTAATGATCACATTGTTAAAATGTTAATTTGTAATAAATTAATATTTTAACATATTTTGCACTTCTTCACGGTCAGACAGTATAAGTCTGTTTCGTTTTGTTACACGGAGATAACATCGATTTTCAGTAAATGTGTTGTGCGAAACAATAGACTCGTTGGACTATAAATCATAGTAATAGCAGATTATTTTCGCGCTAAATCATACTAATAGCAGAATTTCATTGAAAATATTTTATCCTCGTATTTGGAAGAGCTACTGCTAGAAACTAGGAGAAAAATAGGCTTACAAAATGGTGTACTAAGTCATATTAGAGAAGACACAGTACTAACATTAAACGTCTCTTTCTCAAATCGATGAACTAAAGATTTACAGACATGAGAAGCAACAAACATTTTGTGATAATACAAGTGTATGACGTATACCACTAAGGCTATAATGTGCTACAAGTGTTTTTTTTTTTTTTTTTATTGATTTGATACAAAACATAACGCATGCCACCATATTGGGACTATGATCTATGATAAATCTCGAGTTTCTTCAAATATAACATAATTCGCTGAAAATGTTTCTTCACAGAACCAATAAGAAACGATTTATTTGAGATATTACGGCCAACGATGCGTTATTAACTTATGTGCACACGAATGTGCTTCGGAATTAGTTTATTCGATTGGAAATTTTTAAATTAGGACATCTTCCGTCGCGTTTAAATAATTTATAACTAGATGAATTTTCCAGATAAATTTCAGGGTAAATTTCTAGTTCAACGGCCCAATTTACTGTCTATTATGATTTTTTTTTTTTTTTTCTAAGTGACAAGAACTATATGACTTTTCTTTTTTTGGTAATAAAATAAACTTCTCATTAGCAAAAAATTGGGAAAAGTCGCTAAATTTGCCAATTTCAGTTTTCTTGTACGACGAGCACAATATGATCATAATCAATCATAATGAGAAATTCTGGAAATCTTCCTGATTGGTCTTAACACGCTCCCTATGACTTAATCCTTTTTAGAGTTTTTAGAAGAGAAGACGAAAGCATCAAGAAGAAAAATCAGTTGTCAGCTTACAGTCAGTGTTCTCGTCAGTTCATTATTAGTGTACAGCTTTTCAGTCAAAATCAATGAGGTAATCTTCAGTAATTCTTGGTCAAGGTCGTTGAATTAATTAGCAATCAGAATCAGTCCGCCTTTAACTTGATCATGAGTCAAACAGAATCATCTGTCGCCTTTAAAAACTAGAAGCAATCAGGTAAACCTACTACAACCAATCAATTCAACTCATAATCAGTTATTTCTCATAATGAGTGGGTTTAGATTGGATTTAAGTTAAGTTTAGCTTAGGCTAGGTCATCGTAAAAGTTTTAGTCAGTAAAAATCCAAAAAAAACACTACCTAGTTTCTTCTCCCGAATGGAGCCAATCTTATCTTTTGAATTGATTTTTTCCACAAAACAACAGGTTAGATTTGCATTAGGTTAAGTTTAGATCCGATTTACGTTAGATTTTGATTTGATACAGGTCAGTTTCAAGTTAGGTTCATGTTTGTCCCTCATTGCGACAATCCACTCGGCAAACAGCTGAACACTACACGACATTAGATGTACAGGTCACTGAAAGACTGAACGACACAAAACAAAAATAACTTTCACGAACGCATGTTCTTTTTTTTTCAATTTTTATTACTTTATTTGGAAATATAATTAATAAACAACATCCCTCGAATGACCAGTAATTTTAAGAATGAACAAGCTATGACTTTTCCAAACCAGTAGTTCAGTTTTTCAGTTTTTCCACTCTGTATTGTTGTATAGCTAGAAATCGTACGTGAACGTGTACTCACCGATCAGGTACCACTCTCCGTTCGTGATAAAGTCGGACAGGTCGCCGCCCTTCTCCGAGCTGAGCACGAGGTCGACCTAACAACGTCAAAGTTCGATTAACACGGGCGTACGTTCATGGCGGGTGGCATCTAGCTAGGTAACACGAAGCGGGCATGCATGCATTCACACTTAAGCATCTACGAAGCAACGACTACGACTACTTTTGCAGCTATTGCACATAGATCAACGCAGTGCCGGTGTCGGTATTTCGATAAATCGTGCACGGTGAGGGCTTAAGGGGTAGAGGGGAAGATGATGGTTCGTGGTGTCTCGTTATGGTGTCTGGTATCTATAAAAGGGGTAACGGTTTGTAAATCCACGGCGATCGACAGACTGAGCCTCGGATTCTCCGTCGGCAATGAGAAAAACGTTGTCTGCCGCTTGTCTAACGTCTGTCGACTCGCGACGCTTCCCAAACCGCTTAATCCGCTTTTATCCAATCCGAAGGAGTCTACTTTACTTCTCACCGAAGGGAAACTTCGTTTCTGCATGCCTATCGACTGCGTATGGAACACGTCTTCTACTGCGAAATTGAAACAAACCTGGCAGTCTCCGATATCTTTCATCTCGTTTCGCTTTTCAGAGATTGTTTATATTTGTTTGACGGAAGATACTGAATTTTATATTGTAGTATTATACCGAGATATAACATACAATATAATTTTGAAATATGATATATAATATAATGTAATATTGGAATATTATATTATACTCAAATATACTATATAATATTCAAATATTATATTGAAATATTGTATTGAAGCACAGCATATGGTATAATATTAAAATATTATATTAAAATGTAAAATATTATATAATATAATATTGGAATATTATACTGAAATATACAATATTATATAACATTGTACTGAAATATATTATGTGATATGATATTGAAATATTACAATTATTAAATTATTACAATGTTTAAATATTATATATTGTATAATACAATATTGAAATATTATAATACAATACTGAAATATACTATATAATATGATATTTAAATACAATGTATAATATAATATTATACTGAAATATATAATATTGTATAATACAAAATTAAAATATTATACTGAAATATAATACATAGTATAATATTGGAATATTATACTGAAATATACAATATTATGTAATATAATATTGTACTGAAATATACTATATAATATGATATTAAAATACAATGTATAATATAATGTTTAAATATTATACTGAAATGTATAATACAATATTGAAATATTGTACTGAAATATACTATATAATGTGATACTGAAATACAATGTATAATATAATATTATACTGAAATATAATATATAATATAATATTAGAATATTATATTAAAATATTATAATGAAATACAATATATAATATAATATTTAAATATTATACTGCAATATACAATATTATATAATACTGAAATATCGCACTGAAATATAATATATAATATAACATTGAAATATTGTATTGAAATATATGTAACATAACATATTCTATAGATATGTTAAAACGATGAATATCTTCTAATTCTTTCTCACACGAAGAATAATGTTTTTAGCTTAACAAATTGCACTGACCAATGCATTAAAACATTCATTCGAAACGTGGTCATAAAATCATAAAATGATCAAGTACCTCATCTCATCTACACTTATCTTCATATATCAAATATGTTAGCTGTCAAAGAGTCTATTTTTCGTTCCATCGTCAAAAACATACTACTTGCTTTCTATCCAATTGTGAACTGTAGACACGTTGCCAATAAATACCTTTCGTGTTAGAAACCTAATGGAAGTTTAAGAACGTTTGACAAGTCCTGGCAAGTTTAATCCGCTTTTACATCGAATGTCTTGTCAGTCACAACTGGGGAGAGACTTCGTTTCTTCATGTCTACCGTCTTCAGTTGCGAAATTGAAGCGTATCTAGCACTTTCCAGCATCTCTTTCATTCCTGTTTCGCTTCTCAGGCGAAGGTTCGCCGCTATTCGCAGCTTCGATTCCACGGTTTACTCTATTTCGGGGCAGCCCCTTTTAGAACGCGTGTCTCGAACGTTCCGCAATCAACCGCGATACACTGATATACCAGTTCATCACCCGGCTCTTGTTATTTGGTTGCGACGCTGACGAAATTTCGAGATTTCCGCTCTCCGAGATAGCCGAAAAGCATTTTCGACTTCTTCTGACACTTGCCACAGTTTGTGAAGGTAAATTACCTCCACATTCGTCTTCCGAAAATTGGAAGATATCGCACAATACGTAACTCCGCCGTCATTTGTTTGGGACGACTCAGTTTTGATGGTGAAATTTTGTTAGTTGACAGCGAACGAGAGTTTGAAATTTCGTTAATAGGTCGTGATAAAAATATGAAATAATAAAGGAAGTGATAGCTATTAATATAAATTAATCATATTGTATATTGAAATAATTATTAATTAATTCTAATTGACAGCAATTGATGTATTAGAATCAAAGAGAAGATCAATGTAAGCGTTCACTATTTCTACTAACATACTCACGTCGAGTGACTCATGTTTGAGTTTGTGGTTTCTACAATTTTTAATTATAACAGAATCTAATTTCTTTTAATTATAACAGATCGTAGAATATAGGTGAGTACATTTTTGAGTATCTTATAAAGATAAAATGAAGATAAAATGATCGTCAATAGAGTCAAGTAAAATAAAATTTTAGAAGAAATTTTATTCCACCATAAAGTGAAATTAAAACACGTATAAATTTATAAGATAATTCAGACATTATATGTCTAATGTGAAATTCCAATTAAAATGCCGGATTTATTAGCTAAAAAGTATAAATTACTTCATTTCATCATTTTACTCCAAATTTTTCCGAAAAAAAAAAAAATATATATATATATATATATCAGTTTATTAGTATAATTATAAGTTAGTATAATTATTTTGAATATAATTTCACTTTACAAACTCTCCGTGAATGTTGTTATATGCAATAAAATCCTGTTATGCACGAAGTATTCAATAGCAAGTAAACCGATTGATGAATATGTTAATAATTATCACCAATACTCTTCCGATGAATGTAACATAAATTTTAAATTAAAAAACGAAAAACAATAAAAAAAAAAATTATTCACTCGTGATTTTGTCTTATCTTTATATTAGCCCATTCAATTATATTTTCTCCTTCAGAATCCCCCTTAAATAAAAATCCAGCGAAGTTGGAAACGACGTTGGCAAAGAGATAAAAAAAATTGGTCCATTCATATTCCATGTACGTATTCGTCACAGTATTCGATAATATAAAATGTCAATAAGTAAAAAAAATAAAATGTATAATAAAATTGTATAATGTGATAAACAAGAGAAATTTTTCTTTTCAATCACAACCGTGAAACACATTGGCAATATTCATCGACACGTTGTATATTGCTTGATAAAATTCGGCCATTCCTCTTTTTTTCCCCCATCTTACTTTTAGTATCGTTCGCTTCCTTCAACGGAGTTCGCTTAAGCATCAACCGAACGGAATATTGAAGGTATCCTTCAAAGAACACTTGTTCCGCCGTAGAATGCTTTTTAAACCGTTTCTTGGGTTCCTTTTGAGCACGTAGCTGCACCTTCTTTCCCCTCTATCTGTTGCTCTTTGATCGAGAGCCAAACGAGATGCGGTTTGGCCTGTTCCGACTTTTATCACCGGCATTTCCATCCACGAGGCCGGTCCTTAACCGCGCTTCCTGGTACTATCTGCTATCTTGATCGTTTAACCGGTTCAACATCGTGTTTCCCATTTGTCTCGTAACTCGAGCACGTGGTTAAAAGCGGTATGATTTATCGGATGAAAGCTCGAACGAGATTTCGCCCGGCGGCTTTCCGTCGAAGTCGAAGTGATTCTTAACGTTCTCTCGAAGTCGCGGAACGCTTTTGATTATTAAATCATAAATTAGTAATAAAAATAAAGATAAGCGCGTATGTGTCTTTCGTTAAAAGAACGCTTTCGAGTATAAGAAAGCTAAATTTAATAATAATAATAAACGTGCATGTATCTTTCGTTAAAAGAATTCTTTTGATTATAAGAAGAATTTACGGAACACTGACATCACCGAGGACATAAATTTAATAATAAAAATAAACGTGTATGTGTCTTTCGTTGAAAGAACTCTTTTGATTGTAAGAAAAATTCACGGAACACTGAAACCACCCAAGTCATAAATTTAATGATAAAAATAAGTATGGACGCATGTTTCATTGAAAATTATACACAAGTGACAGTTTGTGAGAATTTTGACTAAAATAACTGTTTCATTGACTTCGAATTTAAAGCGATGACCGGAGCTTGTCAATTTTACGAGTAATTTATGAGACACAGCGAGAGACAAAAGTGAGTATACACGAAATTTCTCTAACGTTTCTTAGAAATTTTTGCCAGTTATGTTAAAAACTGGAGGCTTGCAGTGTTTTATAGCAATCAATCTTTAATCATTTTCGGCTAGTTCTATCTTGTACGATTTACAATTTCTCTAACATTTCTTAGAAATTTTTGCCAATTATGTTAAAAACTGGAGGCTTGCAGTATTTTATAGCAATCAATCTTTAATCATTTTCGGCAGAGTTCTATCTTGTACGAATTTAAATAACAACCAAACTTTTGTAACACTTGCAGTTAAACGTTGCAAAAATTTCAAGATGTCAAAATATTGGAATTGACTTTGAAAATTCTTCGATCTCAAGTATTGTCATGCTGGTCCAAAACTATAATATTGTCACATGCTCGAAGGGATGCGGAACATATTTTATTAAATATCTCGGAAATGATTGAAGATACAGTTTTTGTGCAAATTGACGAAATTAACGTCTTTCGACGAAGAATTTTAATGGTGCGCACCATTTTGCAAAAACACCTTTTGTTTAAAAAATATATTAAAAAACCGTACGTTTTATACGTTTTTCCATGTAAATGTTAATTTAAAAAAATTTTCTTGAGCGTTTCAAATTCATGAAAGTTTCAAACACAAGTTACGGACAAAATGGAATCTTGATTTTTGCATTAAAAAAGAATTCA